TTTTTTTTTTTTTTAATGAGAACAGTGAAACAATTATGGTATTATGTCCTGTATGAACGTCCAAGTATGTTAACAACATGTGTGACAACACAAGCAACAAAGTGCAACAATATATTGCCCTAAAACTGCAGCATACAGTACAGGTATATGACAAAATGTAACAAAGTTAGGACTATTTGCTACAAAATGACACGAGTAAAAGACCTGGTGGCTTTCTTTCCATTCACTCACTGTCTCAAACTTGACCTCCCCTGGATCACCACACAAGACAGCGTTGCTCAGCTGATGTCGTGCAACGAACTTTTGAAGCTAGCCACGGGACGCTTCGAAGCCCATAGCGCTATGGAACTCGCTTCCTCTCTTATTAGCGGTCCAGTTTGCGTAAAGTTTTTCGCACGATAACAGTCAAACCATTCCAGGAAACGTTCATTTACTCGACTGTCTGTTGAGCCGCAAGCAATTCACTCTGAGCATGGAAATAGCCATAATCGGACTGAGCAAGAATCGCTTCCTCGTTTTTCAAAGTCTCGTATATTTGAGTCTTTCAGACTCCAAGCGTCTCCTGAATGTTTCGTATTTTGTAACCCACTTCGTTTAATCAGATACAATTCACTTTCTCCTCCGCGGCCATTACTGTTCCTCTTCGTTTGGATGCCATGATCTACAGGATGTAAAAATTTTTCACAATTCCAGTCCTCCCTGTGCTCTGCAACTTCAAGTAACTGCGCCACCTGGCGTTGAAATGCCTGTTATTACAAGTCCAAATGAATTGACTTTACATTGAACCTTAATTGTGTACCAACCTTCGGCGGGCCGGATTAAAAAGACCAAGGGGCCGGATTCGGCCTGCGGGCCATAGTTTGCCCACCTCTGTACTAGAGGGATCGAGATAGTTGCTAAATTTAGCAAAATCACTGCTAAGTTGGTAACACTTCGAGCAAAATTCATTGCTCTTGCTCGCTACCTCCCTTCAACTAGCGGCCACACGCGTGCACATAAGATGGAGAACTTTCAAAATAAAAGCACCACATATTTTACAGTTTACTAGGACTTCATGGGCACTGTGAGGGCCGGTCAGAGACTTTGCCCGGGTCTGTCGTAGTTGAGATTATTAAATGTGTTTTCTTAGCTAAAGTAGTTCTGATTTACTCCCACCTATGGGTCAGAACATTAAAATTGAGCAATTCACTTTTAAATGTACACAGAGACAAATTTGCGTAAGAAGTAATCTTTGAGTTCTGTCAATATGTGAAAGATGTTGAATATCTTAAATTACGCCAGAACAAGGACAGGTTTAATGAATTGAAGTCTTCATTCATCTCTGGGCGATACGTATCGTTGCAGAAGGCAGCTGCTAAGCCTAAGAAAGGTAAGGAGGTGGAGAAGGCCAAGCCCGAGGAGAAGGCGGAGGATGCCCCTGCTGAGAATGGCGAGGCCAAAGCTGAGGAAGAGGTCAGTGTTGTCATCGTGCGTAATCTTGTCATCGTGAAAGCTAATCCTCATTCTAATGTTGTACTCGACACGGAACTGTGTTTGCGTTTCCGTGCGTTGCAGGCACCAGCCACGGATGCAGCGGAGGAAAAAGATGAGGAGGCGGAATAACATCTCTCAAACCGCATCTTTACCAGTGCTCCCTGTACCTCTTTTCTTGTACAATTCAGGGGAATATTTTTATCGACTATTTTCTAAATACAGGTTTTTTAGTAGTCTGATTGTAGAGAACACTTTTTTTTAACGAAAGACAAAAAAAAAAGTCAATTTGGAGACGGGGGAATTTCATCACATCCCACATTGTAACGTTCAGTGGTTTTCATTTCAGAAGTTTTAAATGTGAAAGAGGGGGAGGATGCGGGGATGGGTTACAGTGTCAACAAGCAAACATCATGTTCACAGGATCTTGGTCGACAACTGAAAGAGTTTGCCTGTGTGGATTACATTCCATATGCTTTAAAGGGACAGTGTATGTAATCTGTGCCGGGGCAGAGATGGACACAGTCACACATTGTTTTGTTTATACTGAAGAACAGTGTTTTAGAATGTTTGCGAGATTTGTCCTCATGTTAACTCTTGTACTCATGCAGTTTTCTGATGAAATTGGATTAATAAATTTAAAATCCCTTGTAGTGGAGCTCTCCCTATCCAAACGATGTATCTTCTGTGTTGGTCGTGTCCCTGTTCTGTGATAGCATTGCAATAAATTTGTATAGCTACTGTGAAAAAGGATTTGGAATCTCTGTATGCAGTGCTCAATGGTACATTGTACGGATGCAAAAAAAAAAAAAAAATGGAATTTGCTTTCTAAGCCAACCAACTGAGGTGTCTAAGTGTCGAGGGGGGGAAAAAATCTGGTCTCATAATGCCAGCAGACAACCTGTAAATTTATTTGAGATGTTCAACGCATACCAGCAGTAGCAATACTCACGCTAAGTTTAGGTAACAGTGCAAGTGTGCCGTTTCTTTTTGTTTATAGATGTACCTGTGTAATTATTGTTATCAACAAACCAATAAAGCTCAGTTGGTAGTTGTTATCTTTTATTTATTTTATTTTGAGAAAGAACCGATGATCAAACTATTAAAAAGTTCTTAGGTGACAAGGATAAATATGTTGCAGCAAAATTATGAGCTCAACCGAGGCAGCTGCTTGGTGATTTACAGGGGAGGTGAAAAGACAAATCTGTTTAACATTTTAAACGGGACAAACCATGCCGCCTGGTCCGCAAGCAACGTCTATTGTTGGGTTGAGCCGAGGCCTCAGAGCCCATTAGTGAGGTACGGATGATAAAAGATGTTTAAACGATGTAACGGGAGCGTCATGTCAGATGAGGTGATGTGATGGATTTATTGCGAAATAAATTAATAGGTTGAATCGGTTTGAAATGTCATCTCCAAATTGAACGCTAGAGTGTGCCAAACCCAATTTACCTTTAGGACAGTCCACACAAATGTAACGCATCTGATATAGATTGACATGCCATAAAGGCATATGATGACTTGGTGGTAAACCGTATCAAATGATTTGTTATGATATGGATTATACAAAACCAGCCATGTCACCATTTGGTAAATTTCCCCCCAAAAAATTCACAAATCTATACTACTATCTATACTACTGGTCAGTCTACATGTGTGGGTGTTAATGTGTTGAAAATGGCTTTCTCTCTTCGACAATGTAATGTGAACGGTTGAACAAAAATGCCGTTTTTATAAAAAAAATTCACAAATCTATACTACTGGTCAGTCTACATGTGTGGGTGTTAATGTGTTGAAAATGGCTTTCTCTCTTCGACAATGTAACGTTAACGGTTGAACAAAAATGCCGTTTTTGGGGTCTACTGAAAAGTGAAGATTTTGGAGGTACGAGAATTCCACAAGACGCCAGCGTTATGCTGAACTGTCATTGTGTTAAACTCAACCAGAGGTGTCAAATTGTTGTCCAAATGCATCTGAAATTGTAAACTAAGATGGAACACGCCTAAGTCGATCACGAACCAAGACATACTTATGGTTAATATTAAAAATAAAACATGATTGGAGAGGTATTGTATTGTAAAAACAGTAAATATAAAACAATCAAATGAAAATCAATAAGTATGGCAGTAACTGCATGCTTTCTTCAGCTACATGATGACATATTATTACACGTCTGTTCAAACTACAGTTTAGTGGGCACTGATCATAATCTCATAGCGTTGAACCTCCATGTATCATTTTTTCTCTCACTTCAGAGTTTTGTGCCACTTTGGGTTTGGTTTATCATATGAAATCTCAAAATCAATTTGCCTTTGTGGATGTAACATGACAAAATATGGAAACGTTCAAGGAGTATGAATACTTTTTCAAGCCCCCCTAATAAATGTAATAGCACATTCTGGTCTAGCAATATTCCCAATTGGAAATTTACGATTCAGCACCATGGACAGCTTCCCACGTCCAATCTATGTTTTGTGTTTAATTTTTTTAACTATTGCATCATAATTCACTGTCGTTAAAACATGCCTTAGTTTGAAATATCTTCTTTCATGGTGAAAAAATATGTCAATATTAATATTAAGTAGATGGCCTAAAAATCAGGTCATATGCGGCAAAAAAAAAAAAGATTTAGGAGGACATCTAACCTTAGATAACCTTAGTGTGCATTTATTTATAGATCAAATCAGTAGGTACAAGTTGCTTGTCAGCGCTCCATCCATTCTCTAAACAACTTATTCTATTTAGTGCTGCAGGGGAGCAGCAAAAGGCAAACTACATCCTGGACCTTGTAACAGTCAAACACTATTATATCAACACACACGATTTGGAATTTGGGTTGACCGTATAGACGTGGCAACCGTTGCCATCTGCACTGAAAATAATGGTGTGGTGAATTTACTGAATTATATTTTGTCAAGTGGCTGCACACAATAGAATCATCTGGATTTAGATGTATAGTCTACTTAAAAAATAATATTGTTTATATGTTTTTTTCAGCGATGCTTTCAGGTCACCATCCATCAAATCCATATACTCATTGTTTTCATTTGGGTCACGGGTGAAGTGGAGCACCTGCTAGCTGACGTTGGGTGAGCAGCGCGGATTTCCTAAAAATATCGGGGTTTTTTTTTACTCCTTCCACTGGCAATAAATATCCAGGCAAATAGTATCCATTGTACAATAAACAGCTGAATAAAATGCTTTAGGTGTGTTTCAAATTATGAACATGTCACATTTATTCATCCTCAACTTTAAAAGTCCATCAGATTAAAGCTATTCCATATTGGCACTGAGTGTTTTCCCATTATGAATACAAAAACCACACTAGTGGTGCTGAAAGCAGGATAAATGAGATGATTTTTAAATCTTATGGAAAAAAAAAATCAGTATTCTAATCTGCAATGTGAGCAACAAAACAGCACAAAAAGAATTGACAATCGACTGTTTTAAACAGACATTAAACATTCATTCATTCATTCATTTTCCGAACCGCTTGATCCTCACTAGGGTCGCGGGGGGTGCTGGAGCCTATCCCAGCCGTCTTCGGGCAGTAGGCGGGGTACACACTGAATCGGTTGCCAGCCAATCGCAGGGCACAAAGAGACGAACAACCATCCACGCTCACATTCACACCTAGGGACAATTTAGAGTGTTCAATCAGCCTACCATGCATGTTTTTGGAATGTGGGAGGAAACCGGAGCACCCGGAGAAAACCCACGCAGGCCCGGGGAGAACATGCAAACTCCACACAGGGAGGCCGGAGCTGGAATCGAACCCGGTACCTCTGCACTGTGAAGTCGACGTGCCAACCACTGGACTACCGGGCCGCCACAGACATTAAACAGTTCATACATATGGTGATTTTGGCTGACCGAATCAAAATATGACTCTGTATTTTGTCCTCTATGAATGAGAGTGTAGGAAACTACGAAACCTTATTTCTAATAATTAATGACAAGGATTGATGCTACCAAATATGTGCAAACATGTAGTCAGTCTAGATTCTAGATTATGGAGAAAAACCCCATTTAAAAGCATTCATGATTGTAAATTTACGACTACTAACGTCAACGCCCGCACCAGTTACTGGCTATATTGTTTTCAGCATACAGCTATCATTTGGCATTATAAAGGACTGTTTTTTTAATAAATAGTCTAATAAGCATCCACTTTTCTGGGAAGACTTTCCACATGTCTTAGAAGTGCATCTTTGGCATTTCCATACATCCAAATGAACATTTGTGAGGTATTGAACAATAGAGCATGTGAAAAGTTTTGTAGTAGTTTAACCCAAAGGTGACTAGGACTGAAATGATGGCTCTTCCACAAGACATCAATCCAAGCACGCCTTGATGTAATTCGCTTTGTGCACTGTGATGTGCTTGAGTGGAAAATAGGCTGCTCCAAACTTGGCTCCACAGAGTTAGAAGAATTGAATAGTGCGAAAAGGTCACAAGAAGGAACTAAGTGGCCATGTTTGACCCCTAATTGATGAAGCCTCACTTACAATTCGGTGGTTCGTACTTGCCCTGAGTATCTATGACGAAATTAGCTTTTGGACAGTTCACTTGTCTGGGTAATAATTTGCATTCGAATTATGCAGCACCTTTGATATCGGAGTGACGTTGACTTTGTTGCAAGAGCATGACTCAGTCCATTTTTTCTCTTCTTCCCATCTTGGTGCGCATGTTGCGAATGAGGAAAAACGAAACGGTGGTGACGGCCATGAAGACCTCGGCTACCCAGAACGCTGTGTCCCAACTGTGTTGTTTGGCAATAGTGCTGAAAGGAAGTCCAGCCATGAAAGCCCCCACTGTAATAAAAAAATAAAGTTGTATCATTCATATGACTTTTCATGGTATATCGAGCACATCATTTTGTACTAATAGATTTACCGTTAGCCATCAGAGCAACAATCGCATGTGAGGTTCCACAAAAATTGGAAGGAGCACTTTCACTTGCGATAACCCCAAACAAGGCAATCGGCCCGTAAGAGGAAAATCCAAACATAGCACCAAGAAAGAGAATCCAGATCTGCAAATGGCAAGAGAAGAGATTTTTTTTCTTTCTTTCTTTTTCAGCTAAGAAATCACTAAATAAAATGGTTACCTCTTTTTCTGAGACACCGATGAGCACAGAAACAGGATGGATGACTTGGACCCAAAGAGGAGCCTCCTGAAGTGAATGAATGAACTTCAGTACCGACTACAGATAGAATATAACTCAATACAGTAATGTTAGAATAGCAGAGACATTCGGTCAGGGCAGGCAGGGGAGCCAGTGCTACCCTCTCCCATCCCTGCATGTGAAAAATCAAATTTATTTATTAAAAGTTAGATTTGGTTAAGATTGAATGACTGTCTGTGTCTTATGTGTTGTGTTGCATTATTTTGTTATTATGACTTCAAGATGGCGCCGCAAGAGTGGCTGCCTTTACAGCAGCTCCTATACTTTTTTGTTCTTCTCCTTTCTTCCTTTCATAACTTTGCTGCTGTAAATTGGGAATTTCTCCATTGTGAGATGAATAAATGTTTTTTTCTTCTTCTTCTTCTTTTTTTTTTCTTCAGAACATTTCTAATATTACAAATCACTACATTGTGCAGGTTCATGCGATGAAGTGTCCCATAAGTCTTTGAATTCGATCTATTTTTACCTTTGGCATTTCAGGGGTGATGGTGACCCTGAAGAGATACATGGACACACACATACCGGCCATCATGACAATGAGCAGGCCGTGACGAGGGTTCCCATGTGTGCCCAGGACAGACTACGGAAAGTCACAGAGCATGTTTATGACAAGCGGATCAAATCAAACAAGTCCTTCTGACTGCTACTTACTCGAGCAACAGCTCTGTCAGAGATTAAACCAGATGCAAGGCTTCCCACAAAGCCACCCACTTCCAAGGCACTCATGTAAGTACTGCCTGTGAGTAACCCAGCTCAAATTAGAACCATGAAACAACAAAAAAAACCACACTCTTCAGAATCAAGTAAGCATTGCAATGCGTACCCATAAGAGCTGTCTGGCCTTTCTCCTGCATGAGGAAAAGCTGGCCCCAGTCAGTTGCTGCCGTTTTCACGCCGAACACCACCAAGTAGCCCAAAGACAGCACCCAAAGAAATGGGGAGAGGAGGAACTCACTCAGGGTGCTCTCACCGTTGCCTGGTGAGGAGGAAAAGAGCAAACAGTGTTCACTTCGCTCACATCTCTAACAGACTAGCACTAGAAATTCACACCTTAAAAAGGGAAGATTGGAGGACATCCTTTAGAACATAACCTGTAACTGTTATCAACGAACATTGGCTAGCTGAAAATATTTTGGAGTCCCAACAATATTTTTGTGATTATAGTGTAGAGAATGGCTAAGAGTCTTCAAATTATTTTATTTTTTTTTGGTCTATGTGTATAGTTTGTACACTGTCACACTCAGATCACGTGGTTCCGATGTGATCTGTATCCATGGAGCAGCTTAACCTTCTCTCCATCTACCATGAGTTTTTAGGAATAGTGGTTTAAAACACACACACACACACACACACACACACACACACACACACACACACACACACACACACACACACACACACACACACACACACAATATAATTTACAAAACTACCAAGATGTGTTAGATGTTCAGATTTACTTGAAGAGGTTTCCAAAAATACACGTAGGGATTACATAGTAATTCCATTTACAGAAGCGTTAAAGTATTTGGACAAACTGACATACAAACAGTTGCTGAAAGGCTACACTTATATTCAGAGTGTAATGCTGTGTAAAATGTAAATAAAAATAGAATACAATGATATGCAAATTCTTTTCAGCCTATAGTCAATCAAATGCACTACTAAGCCAAGATATATAATGTTCCAATTTATAAATACTTTTGGGAAATATTATCTTCATCAGAATTTTATGCCTGCAACCTGTTCCAAGAAATCTGGGATCGTGGCATGTTTATAACTGTGTTACATGCCGTAATCTTTCCTTTTAAGTATTTGGAAACTGAGGACACAAATTCTTTCAGTTGATCAAAAGTTCGGGGGGGTCTCCGTTGTCATATTTTGCAGTTAATAATGCGCCACACGATTTCAATGGGAGGCATGTCAGGACTGCTGGCAGGCCAACTTAGTTCTTGCACTCTATGACGACGACGCCACGCTGTTGTTACATGTGCAGAATGTGACTTGGCATTGTCTTGCTGAAATAAGCAGGAATGCCACTGAAAATAAAAACCCATTGCTTGGATGGCATTATATTCCCCTGTCCCAGCTTTTTGGGTGACATGTTGCAGGTATCCAATTCAAAATGGGAGAATATTTGCGCCCCTTCATAATCTTTGTATTCTGTTTTTATTTACGCTTTACATAACGTCCCAATTTCACTGAAATTGGGGTTTGTGCATTGTGATTGCTGTTGTTGTGTGTAAAGGGAAAATCATAATGGAATAATTTTAGACCTAATTTACATCTACACAACCTGGTGTCCATCAATCCATCATAGTCTTTTTACTCACATTTCGTTGCACCCTTCTTGGGTGCCAGCTCAATAGCAGGCAGGCCCACATCCTTTGGCTCATTCTTCACCAACATGAGAGTCACAAGTGAGAAGGCAGCACAGATGACACCTGACATCGTTAGGATGGTCCTCCAGTCATAGTAGTGGAGGAGCACCGTAACCAGGAGTGGGCCCAGACTCCCTGCCAGGTTCGTGCTGCAGGACATCACGGACCACCATGTTCCAAACTGGGAGGGCTCAAACCACTGAAGAAATAGATTGTGGACATTATATTCGATTTTAATTTGTCAAAAAACAAAAAGAGGCATTTCAGTCCAAGATAAACGGTAAAAATTGTTCACCCCATAAAAGTTGTGAATCGTCGAATCGTAAATTCCAATTGGGGGTCTTATTCAATTGTTTCAGACAGGGAAATGAAACTAACGTTCCACTTCACTGGCCACGGTATTTATTCATGGCTTACTAAGAGGAGCAACAGAAGCAGACGACTTAAAGATCCCCTGTGAGAAAACTCATTCCACAGAAGAGCAGTGGTAGTCCTCGAGCAAAAGGTTGTACTTAAAAGATCGAATCTATTTAAAGATCGGTCTTCTCAGTAAAAAGAAAAAGTGTCGACTGTTGTTGTTTCTTAAAGCAAGATGTACTGAGGATGTTCTACTTATAGAATCTCGAGTAATCTGATCCCCTTTCAACATGCTGAAGACGTGCCAAAGCCTATTTATTCCCCACCTTTTGAACACGGCAAAGGCATCTTGCTTTCCAAGTACCTTTAAATAGCTAACATTGATTTACTAAATCTTGCCTTTATTCTTTTAGACAATGATACTTATTCATCAAGTTATTTGTGGCTGAGACATTGCAGATTGTTGGTCATTCCTGACTTTTCTAATACCACTCTCCCTACTGACCTTTATAACAGGCTCGGCTTACATAGGTCAATAGTATCTGGCGGCAAGTAGCAGGATTCCAATCAGTGAACTTTCACACGACAAAGCATGCGGTAACACTGACAGACTCGACATGCGAAAGCATTTGGGATTACCTTGCGGAGGACCTTCCCGCACGGAGGCCATCCACAACCTTGTCCCAGTCCGTTAATGAACCACAGGAGTGAGAACATGGTCACCGTGGAGGACCAGGAGAAAAGCACGTTGATGCCTCCGATCACAAAGAGGCCGATGGAGAAAAGCCAGCGGGCACTGATCTGGTCTGATAACACGCCGCTGATGAATTTACTGATGGCATAGGCCATGGTCTGGCTGCTGGTGATCAGGCCTGGAGACACAAGGAGGGTTATTGGTTGTTCACAGAGCGCTGAGAATGTGAAGCATCTAAAATGAGTGCCGAGTGCATATTCAGGATATTCTTAAATGATGTCAATTAACTTTGGTCAACCTCTTTTGAGCGTTCAATCAATGCATGCATGTTTTTGGAATATGGGAGGAAACCGGAGTACCCGGAGAAAACCCACACAGGCACGGGGAGCGCATGCAAACTCCACACAGGAAGGCCGGAGCTGGAATCGAACCCGGTATCTCTGCACTGTGAGGTCGACGCGCTAACCACTTGACCACCGTATTTGATAAATACTAAAAAATATCTAATAATAAAATCTGTACGTAAAATGAGAGATATACAGAAATGTAAATTAGGGATAGACCGATATGTTTTTATTTTTGGGCCGATACAGATGTGGATTATGAGTGGAGACAGATACCGATTATTAATATTCAAGGAGGCTGATAACCGATATTTGGATTCAATATTCATTTTCAGTATTGGCATCCATTGTAGCCTTGCTGTCTTGGTAGGCGGGTTCCCCCCATCATCTGTCCCTTCACAAGGTTTCTTCTTTTTCCGCCCCCAAATGGAGTTTGGGGGGTTTTCGTTGCCCTGACAGTTTTGATCAGGGGATGTGCTTCATATTTGTCAACTGTGGGCTTGTGAAGCTCAACATAAATTTGACTTGACTCGATTTGTTTTTTTTCAGGGCCGATACCAAGATTGATAATTAGTCTTCAAGGAGGTGATAAACAATATTTGGAGCTAATATTCATTTTCAGTAGAAGGGAAGCTTTACTGAGATGTCTTTAAGGTTATGATTAATGAAGTTAGTTGAATATTTCAAAAAAATAGTTCCCTGAACTTAACAGAGTTTTGAATTGATCTCTTATTGGCCGTCAGATTGTTCGAAACGAACGATGCCGATATTTCATAAAATGCTGAATATCCGTACCAATAATTGGTCCGGCCGATAGTCAATCTATCCCTCCACTAAATTCTTACCCAAGTCGTCTTTGTCCAGTTTAATCTCACCCATCACCGAGGGCATGACAAAAGAGAATGCCTTTCTGTTGAAGAAGTACAGCATGTAGCCAAAGAACATGGAGGAGAAGATGGTCAAGCGATAGTAGCTGTAACTTGTTGCCCCCATGGTTCCACTGGATCAAAACAATTTTGTTTAAAAAAAGAGAAATGCTTTATTTGCTATGGTTCCTCAAGCACTTAGACAGTCAGTCAGTGGAAGCAGTTGAAAGTGGACATCATTAGTTGGTGGTTTGTAGTGGGTGCTGGCCTAAAAATCCTCATCAGACGGTTTAGGCAGGTTTGAGGCGGCTTCTTTTGGAGAGTGCATGAAGCGTTCGGGGAACCTTACAGCTGCCTGAAAATGAAAACAGATGAACAAAATGTTTCACATTAAGTGAATTACAGTACACCCTTTTTAAGGAGAAATGAGTCTGGGTTCCAAACAAATATTGTTGGCTTCGTGTTCAAAGAGGGTTTGTGTTGATCAAAAGCACACACACGGAATAACACTTTCTACTGCAAGATCAAACTGCAACCATTGTACATTTGTCCTCCAACATGGAACGTGCCCAAGGCCAAATCGTTCAGCTCAATGAAACACTTGCACTCACGTTCCGATTTATTAAGTAAGCTACTAAAACTGCTCTGTATCGCGATAAAGGAGCTTTGTCATCAATACATCGCAACTATGAAAAAAATATATTGCTTAAAGGAGCCGTAATAGGCAATATTTTTCAATTTCCAGGTTTCTCGATTAAAGGACTCTGATATTCTTGTTAAAATAGACTTACTGTAATTCTTTATTCACGGTAAAAAAATAAATCAAGCACACTTAAAAAGGGGTCTTCTATGGATATTTGACATTTAAATTGCATGTATACAAATAGTTGAATCTCTGAAGTTGACCCATTCAGTGTTAAATTAATCAACCACTTCAACCTTTTGCTAGCAGACAATTTCCAAAAATGTTCCCGTGAGGGAACAACTCTGGATTTGGATCATTTTACACAATACCCGACACCACATCGAGTTTTTCCACCCTGCCTAAAGATTTACTATTGTCAAGCGACGGATTGACTCAGTTTGTCTGACCTGTGGAACGATGATCAAAAACAAAAGATAAGCAAAGCTGCAGTGTTAGGACAGGTTATTATTAGCTAACAATGTTACCAGTGAGAGCTTCTGATAACCAGCACACACCCTACTAGAATTTGGGGCAAGCAGAAAAGTTAGCAACGATGAAATTGCCACACCTGGTCGTCATGGTAACAAAAGCCAAATCTACATTTAAGAGTCAGAACCGACCCCACAACCGAAGCCGATACCTCAAGTCTTCTGTTCGGTATGGTATTTCAGTAGTTCGATCGAGTCGGGTTGCTTGCAGCGTGCGTGTCACAGTTCAACACATTGGCGACAAAAATGTCACACAGCTGACTGGGCCATCTGCTTCGGCGAAACCACATTTAGAAGAAAGACTAAACATCAGATTTCGCGCACACTTTTCCAATGCAGTAACATATCGATTCAGAGCATGTTGTGGTCATTTTTATCGCTGCATGAAGAACGTGTAAGTTTTAAGTCTCTTCAGTCTGCACTACAACAACACGCTTCTGTTATGCACGCGAACGCATCTTCTGCAATACACATTCTTGTAAAAGTGTGCACCGAATTTACGATACGCACATTCAGCGTATATGGACTTAAATAAATCGAATGAGCGACACGGTGCCGACAGATATTGAGGAGAGGTCCGTTTCGGGAAAAAAAAAACGTAATCGAAGCCACGTTTCATCAAACGCCGCCATGAAGCACATCGAGGATGCTGCCTGCCATCAGCCCACCTGAATGTGTCGATGAATGAGTAACTCACAGAGGCTAGTTGACCTCGTCGCGTCCCTGTCGTCGGGGCTCAAAACAAGCGAGTGTCCGCCACGAAAAGCTTCCCGGCTGGAGCTCGCGCGAATCGTTAAAGCGGTAGCGCCCAGTTTCTACAAAACGGGAACTATATCTCAGCGCGCATACGCATTTATCTAAACATAAACACACGCACACGATTAAACGGTATATGTGTATTGGCTGAGAGGAGAAGACACCCAAAATTATTTTAAAATGTCAGCAATTGACGCCATCATCGAAATAGAGTGGCCACATTTATGCAAGAAAACCACTGTGGTCATTGGAGACATTTTTGAGGAATTTCTTCAGCACAAGTTATTCACTATGCTTTTTTTTTTTTTTTTTTTAGAGGACGCGGGGAGGTTGGGGTGCAATTAGTGACTACATTTAACAACAGTAAAGAGTAATTTTGCAACAGTATATGAACTGGAGGATATTTTCTGGAATGTCAAATACAGTAGTCCATGCACAAAATATACAGAAATATGCACTTGTGTAAATTGAAGTTGTTTGTCACTAGTAAAAGTGATTCTCACATATTTGAGTAGCGCTCACAAGTATTTCCCTCGTCTCTCCCTCTTTGTGTCCTAATTCCGTCTCAAAAAAAAGACAATTAAGATAAAATTATGATTTATTTTTAAAGATGAGTTTCTTAAATGACTTCCTTTTGTATTTTTATTTGTTTTTTGTTTTATCACTGACATATTTCAAACAGTACTAAGCTTACTTATCAACTGAAGTCGTGTCTCGAGTCTAAACAAACAATCAACTTTTGGATGTGTTTCAAGCAAATAGACAGAGAGAAAGACGAGACGGGTTTTTCAGGTTTTTTAAACTGTAATCTATTACCCTATTCAGTTGATAACAGCTGTTATAAATGTTCCATTCTCATTAGATGTGCTATGATGAGGAATAAAAAGTGGATGGCGTATCAAGAAATTTTGGACACGTCACATAAACAACTCCACTTGCTCCGCAATTCAAATATCCCTCACTGCTTAACTGTGTTTGAAGACAAGCAGAAAGAAATCCAAGACCGTTTAACCTGCTACATGGCTAAGACTAGAGCTCCTCTTAGCAACAGGAGCCAGATGAGGTGGCTCAGGCATTTGGCAAGGATGTTTCCTCGAAATTTCTTTGGTGAGGTGTTGAAGAACCCAGGGAAGACTCGGGGCACACTAGTAAAACTTTTCCACTCATCTTTTCTGGGAATGCCTCGGGATCCCCTCAGAAATGCTTGATGAAGTGGCTGGGGAGAGGGAAGTCCGAGATTCCTTGCTTAAGATGCTCCCCACTGCATGGATGGTGAGAGAGAATATATCATTGTCCGGTATGTTTGTAATTGAGTAATAAACCGTAATTTTAAAAATGCAAACATTCTTGTGAAATAGTCTAAATAATATCTAGCTTGTGAGAAATTGCACACAAAACTGAACGGAACAAAATGTCATCATTGGAGTCTTGTGATTTAAAATGTAATGATGTAAAACTTCTTTTTACGAGAATGTTACTCTTTGTGTGCGCCTCACCACAATGATACAGCTCATGTTTACAACACAACCACAGAGACATTTTTTCTGAAGCACATGCATGCGCTTTTCTTCCAAAAGAAATTATACTGGAGTCACAGAATTTGTCATTGAAAAATAAAATCACAACCGCATGGTGATCGACTGGTTAGCACGTCCACTTCACATTACAGAGGTCATAGGTTCAATTCCAGGTCTTGGCCTTTCTGTGTGGAGTTTGCATGTTCTCCCCGTGCGCGTGTGGGTTTTCTCTGGGGTACTGCAGTTTCCTCCCACATTCCAAAAACATGCATGTGGTAGGTTAAGTGAAAACTATATTGCCCCTAAGTGTGATTGTGAGTGTGAACACCGAAAGTGAAACAAGAAGAGGCGCTGTCAACTGATCACCACATGGTGGTGTGTTGGCTCCAATGGTGGAGGAAGATGTCGGTCCAACCTGACAGACCCAAATGTCTGGTGAGGGTCTGCTGGGAATGTCGAGCTGAGTCCCCCGCTGTCAGAAAAGGGTTTGCAGTCCCTCCATTAGGGGAGACTGAGGACATTGATTCAGAGTAGAGCCTGTTCATTGTCGGGGAGGCCTACCGGAGCTGTGGCCATGAGGTGGCTCCTTCAGACATGTTTCTATCCTGGTCTCAATCTTTAATGCTATTGTATCATACTATTTTTTATGAAACATGATCCAAATGAATAGAAACTTTCTTATTGTCCGCCTTGTGTAACGACAGTTTAATATTTTGTGCCTCCATGATAAATTCTTTTCTGGTGCGGTGACATTTCTCCCGCCATGGTTGTCCTTCCACCCGGCTCTCATCTCATTAGCTTTGACAATCCCAACTTCTGTTTTTGCAATGAGTAGCGTCATTCTTCCAGAGGAATGACTTCCTCTGTGTCTGGAGGGGCTGATTCTGAGAACTGAATGGGGCACGATGATTGGTTGGGACCCACTGGATGCTGCGACAGAAATCAGCTCGTTTTCACTCCCAATTGTGAAACAGACACAAAGTACTTTTAAAGCAGACGGATCTGTTGGATTCTTCTTTGGCAAATTGAGACTTGGAACTTGAACCATATCCATGAGCTGACTGGTTAAGATGTTATTCAAATCAGGGGTTACTGTGCCAGTTTAATTTATAGTGTAAATGTGTTGAGACATGGGCAATGCTGGCTCATCTATAGGTTGGTCTATGAAGAAAGGAAGCCGCCATCTTTTACGAAGGACTTTGTAGCTCAGACGATAACACATTTGAATAGTTCAAACTTTAAGTGTGTTTTTTTTTCTCTCCAAGAGATGATTAGAATCTGATTTTACTGTGTGTATAATGTCAGGGAAGTTTAAAAGACATGATGATGAACTGCATAATTTATTTTAGAGACATTTTATCCCATTGTATTTGTAATTCTTTTAAATAATAAAGCTGTGACGGACAAACTCTTTCTGAATGTTTTGGGTCATGATTGTAAAATTATAGGACGGTGCTTTGGGGGTGATGAATGTCATGAATGTTACACATAGAGGCTCGATCAAGGGTGCAAGGCGGTCACCAATTCACATACTCTGCCGACTACATCATTCGCAAGGGAGATCTTGGCAGTTTATACTGTACAAATGCACTTTGCGTGCACCGCACTCATCACTCGGACCCCGGCGTATCAATTTCTGCTTCCGTGATGCACTGTGCTATTAAAACCCTGATTTTAATGGGAATGGGAGTGAGCAACTGAATTCCATGAATGTGTGGACAAGAGCACAGCCAAGTGAATTGACATTATCTTACTCACATGCATAATAAATGTCATACTTAACCTGGAATTGCTGTGTCAGCATGATGGTGACGTTGGAGGTCATGAGGGATGTCAGGCCCAGCTGAGAGCTGCCCAGCCGAGAGGACACTACACATGTGCAAGGACCGAGGGTGGTTACAAATCCCACTAAAGTGCCCCAAAGTCAGTTACCAGGAGGATAGCACTTGATTTGTCTTGAGAGCTGTCCAATTTCTTCTTTTTAAATTTTGTTCCTAACCAGAGTTCAATAACCTGGCCAATCAATTTTTACGACGCTGTGTGCGTGAGAGAGTGTGTGTGTGTGTGTGTGTGTGTGTGTGTGTGTGTGTGTGTGTGTGTGTGTGTGTGTGTGTCTGTGTGTGTGTGTGTGTGTGTGTGTGTGTACGGGAAAATGATTGACACACTATTCGGTCACACATTTCTGTCACAACAGTCTCTGTTCTGTCGCACTGTGGCAAGTTTCAATATACAAATTAAAATCAAATCCTTGTTATAAGATGGGCCCAGTGATGGATGATTATGCAAAAATATCATTTTAATGATATTTTACAGTCACGTCCTACAGACCGTTGTTTTGTTTTTTAAACTGTAAACTCCACCCTACTTAAATATGTGCTTAATTCTACAAATAGGTTTAAAAAGAATGTATTATTCCCACCCTTTTGTTTGTTTTGTTTTTTTGTGACAGTAAATTCACAAATAACAATTACATTTATTGGCTGCAACAAATATCATTAAAACAAACTGTACATCAGTAAATAAATAATAATAATAATGATAATTGATTCAGCATACAAGACATACAGGAGATGATGAAAGTCACTGAATGTCAGCTGCCATGCCAAGATCTGCCATGTCCTCAAAGTTGACCTTGTAGTCACCTTCTTGCTCCTCAAACACAATGATCTAATGATCATAATAAGAAGAACTTAACAGGTCAGAGAGAGTCAAATCCGATCACAGACATCAGTTGAAACACCTTAAAAGTAAAATGATGATGTTCCTTGCGCTTTTTCATGAACAAATGACTCATACAAACCTGATTGATTCCCCTGTTGAGAAATGGACCGGGGAGGTAAAGAGTCTGCTGGGGTCCAATTGACCAGTAGCGTCCCAAGTTTATCCCGTTGATAAACACAACACCCTTCTGCCAGCCCTGTGAACCAAACGATAATTGCTCATTGCTAATCACTGCACGTACAATATTTTCATGCTAAGGCCTAGAAATGCATAAATGGTGTCAAAACATTCCACTCACCGGCAGTTTCACAAAGGTATCGCTGGGATACTTATACAGAAAGAGCTGGCCCATGAAAAAAGAAGGGAAGCTGGGATTTTCCGCAAGAGTTTTCCAAGGAGCCTGATAGAGACTAAAGCAAGACATCTAATTCAAGCAAACAGTGGCACAAAATAAATAAATTGTTATATGAAGGTGTACAAACTTATAAATAAAGCTGGGTTTCATTTCCAGGCTGTATATTGTGAACTCCCGGAGTGGAATATTGTTTAGCAAAATGTCCCCTACAAGACCTGCAAGAATGCACATTCAAATTGGCTTCTACATTACAACCGGCAGAACAACATCTTACATTTTGTCGAGCAAACACCTTTACGTTGCTTGTCAAGGTCCCTTCCACGGTGAACTCGTCCACAGTTTTCCACCAATAAACTTAACGTCCGCGGTCCCTGTTATGGATTTTGAGCATTTGGTCATACTTGTCTCAAAAAAAAAAAAAAAAAGAAAGAAAACCCCCACAATGTTTACTGAACAAACTTCAAACCAAAAGACTAATTCAAGTGTAATGAGTTTTTCCATTACCCGGTATATTTTTCTAAACAATTGCGATTCTGACCGACCTCGATTTTGTAGCTGACATGGCATTACTGTTCGAGGAAATACAACAGGCTCCGGAGTTACTGCTTACGGTTACATTGTCAATCGGAAGAGTGGCATCAAATGCCGGCAAGACAGTTCATGTCTTTTAACAATGAGAGAGTGGTGATATAAAGACCGGTTGGCACATTGCTTAAACGGGTTGCTGATTTGAAATATCTGGGATCTTGGATGGGTGGCACTGAAAAAGATATCAAGATCAAAAAGTCTGCAGCATGGGGAAGTGACAAAAAATGGAGAAATCATCCCTCCCACGGGCCTTCAAGCTGCGCTTATCCACTGCGACTGAGGAATGAGTGCTCATTTCTGGCTGTGAGGGATGGAACTTATCCCCAAATCACTGGATAGGGTCACTGGATAGGGCATACATCGTCATGCTGAGAACTGCTCTTAACCCTTTCAGGCACCCTGTAACCAGATAACATGATATGCTGTCCACTGTAGTAACTGCTGTCCCTGAAAGGGTTAATGCACATTGGAACCGACATGTCATCGACAAACATCTATGTGATAAACGTCCAAAATTCATAAATACATTTAGACAGAGACGTTTTGCTGGCCAGTGTACAATAAGCAAGGAGGAATGGGTAGATTCCAAAGCATGGGTGGAGGAGCCCATCTTGACCTTCACTGACATCCTGAGGCGAGATACTGGACTCAAAGCATCTGAGCTCAGGGCAGCCAGAGAAGCAGAGCACAGCATATCTCAACACGAATCCGAAATGCTTCAATGTGTACTAATTTGATGTTAAAAAGTGAATGTTAACGCGTCAACATGGAGCTCACCAAAACATGAATAGTAAACGTGATTTTGGTGAGTTAAAGAGATGCTAAAAATAGACGAGGATGCTTCTGGAATTGGAAAAAGAAATCTTTCAGTAAAACAGTTTTCTTTTAAGGTCAGGATTTCAGAGTCCAAACTTTACAGTAGTTTTTTTTTTTTTTTTTTTTGTGGTCATTATTGGTCAGTTACAAGTTACTTCGGTGGTCTTTCTGCAACAACTTCGTCCAGGTGTATATACAGTATCATTTATGGTCATTTGCAGTTTAACAAGGACAAATCAGGATTCATCCCACTGCACAATGCAAAGAAAATGTGTTGATCACTGGTCTATTCTAATTCCATACCTTGCCATCTGGAACAGCCAATTCCAAATTCTGGCGCTTGAAAAGCCCAATGTAACTTTTGTTTACAAAAACCTGTGAAAGAAACCAAACACCTCAAATTAGATAATTCAAAAATTTGGGTCCAGTGTTATAAAAAGTCACAGCAATTTTGTTAACACCATGTACAGTATGTTGTGCATAAAACACTTAGGTAGAAATTTGAACGACATTGGAAGGTCATCTCTAAATACAGTACAGAGTGTTCCATTAACCTGCCATGCATGTTTTTGGAATGTGTACCCGGAGAAAACCCACGTAGGTACCATGCAAACTCCACACGGCAAGGCCGGAGCCGGAATCAAACCCTGCCCCTTTGTACTGTGAGCCCAACATGCTAACCAGTCGCCCATCGTGCCGGCCCATCTTTTAATACAGTCTGTTGAATTTGATTTGAAGCAGAATTGCTCCTTGCAATTGGTGGTGGAAAAACAGTTCACTGGCGCTGATATTTGTTTTCCAAATGGCTGACCCACTGTGCTTCTTTGATCAGATCAATAAAATATTGATCAGCCTCTCTACAGACATTTGATTGATTTCTAGAAGTCACTTAGACCTCGTGGCAGTAACTGAATCCAAACTTCAAACGCAATGTAATGTTTCACCTTCAGGGGGAACTGGATTTATGGCACCCACTGGAGCGTATAAGACAGGGGTCGGCAACCCAAAATGTTGAAAGAGCCAAATAGGACCCCCCCCCCCCCCAAAAAAATCTGTCTGGAGCCGCAAAATAAATAAAGGCCTTGTAACGAAGGAAACACATGCTGTATGTATCAATGTGAGCTATATTAGCCTACTATCAAAATGACTAAGTTGGCTACAAATACACAATGAGTCTTCATGATTAAACGTTTTTTTCCCTTGCACTGCATCCTGTAGAGCAGGGGTGCCCAAGCTTTTTTGACCCAAGATCTACTTTTCGATCAACCGACCTACCGCGATCGACCCGTTACCGCTCACACTGACCAAAGAATGCCTACCTACCTTCGTCGAGGCATGGGACGCGGAGGCATGGGACGCACTTTTGCAGCGTGTTAACTATCGTAGCTCACGTGTACCATTTTAAAATGCTTCTCTCGGCCCTCGCAACAGCCATCCTTTGCGAGTACCCTCGGTGAATTGTACATGAAACGCATTTTTTTTTTTTTTTTGCAACAGCCACCTGCATGGCATCCCGCTCTGCTAATAGAAACGTGTCGCAGGCTATGACGCAAATCTTCGTTGACAGAAACGTTGAAATTTAATATTTATTCTACACATTTTTACAGCATTGGAAAACGTTAAGAATGTTTGTGTAATGTTTTTCCTCCTACAGAAACCATATTAAAACAAAAAAATTGATTTCCCTCCCCCATCTTTTTCTATTTTCGAACATTTTTGAAAGAGCTCCAGGGAACCACTAGGGCTGCGCTAAAGAGCCGCATGCGGCTCTGGAGCCGTGGGTTGCCGACCCCCGGAAAAGAGGAAAGGTGCTTACTTAGGTCTACCAGAAAATGTGATGAAAAAGAGATTTCACAGGGAATGCCCACATTTTCGTGTTGCTCCATCCAGAGTCAGTATGTGGAATGAAAGTGTGTAAATGACAGACAAGAGAGAACAGGAGAATTGGCCATGCTAAAAAAAACATTTTTTGAAAACACCAGCAACTGCGTGCCTTTTCCCTCTTGCACACATGGGAAAGTATGGCTAAAAATTGCCACTGGTTCACACTAATAGTTGTGTGGAAATCCATGTTGGCTGCACAATAGATGACACTATCGTTGACTTCCACTTCAAACTACAACCACAAAAATAAACTTAGTTAACCGTTTCAGGCACAACAGTCACTACAGTGGACAACTTATCACGTTTATCAGGTTACAGGTTGTCATTATTGGAGCAGGAAATAGTTAAATAAATACACCAAGAGCTTAAGCTCTCGTGGAACGTTACAACTCACAAGGGCACGATCTTTAACGTTGTTTCCTGACTTCAATAAGCCTCCACTGGCAATTGTTGTCTCATACAGTGTGTATCCGTGGGACTGTCCATTCTTGTTGTTCATTGGTAGATTTTCCATGTTAACCGGCGTATCTGACTTAAGTGGCTGTGGAGGTAGTAACAAACAAGGCTTGACAGAACAGCAACTCTCTGCTTCACAAAGGCTGACAGGCAATCGTACGTTTAAAGACATACTCCCTCAGTAAAGCTTAAAGCATCCCATAAGGACAGGTGCTGGTACATGATAGCTGGTTCATATGCTTCCTTAGGTTGGAGCACTGGCAGGTCCGGGAACTCTTCACCCCCTAGAGTGGGAATCGAATCAGTATATGGTGCTCCAGCCACATCTGTAGAATATTTATTGTTCATCTTACTGTTGAATTGAGAGAATAGATCTCTGAGGAGATGGTACTTCTGAGTGTACTCTCCAGCTTCGGACAAGGGCGCGTCATAATCTGCAAAATATCGAAAATTACATGCTGTCTATTTTTGGTTGTTGAAAGTATTATTCATTTAAAAGTGCAGGATCCAAAATCATTCAAATACTACTGACCTCAGGGAGTTACATCATTATCACATTCATGCAGCGCGTGTGCATGAAAGAGAATGTGAGTTTATTTTTGACATTGAGGCACCTACCGTAGCTAGGGACCAATGCTTTGTAGGAAGGTTCAGCCAACCCTCCGCTAATGAAACCAAAACTGGAGCCTCCGTGGAACATGTAGAGGTTTACAGACATCCCGCGCTTCAGAATCTCTCTAACAGTGGACACCATATCTGAGAAAGAATTTGAAATATCAACAGCAATCACTGTCATCTTATAAAATATTCAAGTAGATTCGATTCAATAGCAATGACAATATCCTTGATACACGTTGAGCCGCTTTATCTGGAGCTCATTCAGAATACTTGACCTATATTTGAACATTTGCATTTCAATTGACATCGCAAAAAAGTGTCACTGCATTGTCAGATGAGAAAAGAAACAATACTGGACCAGTGTACATCGAAGTACTGTAGTTAGCCCTAATGCGGTGTATTTAACCCTTTTATGCACCAATTATAACCTGTAACCTGGTAACATGATTAGCTGTCCACTGTCGTGACCGCTGTCCCTGAAAGGGTTAAAAGAACAGATATGGCAATGGTAATAATATGAGCCGTGGTTAATGACGTATGATCCTGAGCGACAGACTTTAGAAAACAGTGTTAGAATAAGTACCGGTAGATGTGAAAAGTTGCAGACATTTCTAGAAGATAAATCTATAAACTTTGAATGGGGGGGATCAGCTTGGAGTTTTGTCAAAATTCAAAGTAAATATTTTCTATAGGAAAGGAATATATAAACTGCAGGGGTGCCCATTACGTCGATTGCGATCGACCGGTGGATCGCGGATTCGTCCCAAGTCGATCGCGAGGGGTGTAGAGTAGAAAAAAACAACCATTTGTGTGTCTTTGTGCATGTTAGTAATATATATTTTTGTGTTAATGTAGACTGCACCCTAATCACCCTATCAGTCTCATTTTCACAAAAAGTATAAAAAAAAAAAAAAAAATTAAATAAAGCAGGTAAATCTTTAACCTACGGTGGCGCGTGACTGCATCACCGGAAGTTGTTAGCGCTCAGCAGTCTGCAATTGCAGCTTGTGATCAGAGCTGTTGCGCTATATCTTTTATCGTTATCATTATTCTCATTCAGAGTTTGTTTCGTATACAATTCACCTAGGGCACGGGCAAAGAATAGGAATCTAGAGGGCAGAGGGAAGGACTTTAAACGGTACGTGTGAGCTACGATAGTTAACAGGCTGCAAAAGGTTGTTGTTGCTCATCATGGCGTGCGTGTCTATGAGCCTGCGCGTGCACAGTAATGGGTCGATCGCGTTAGGTTGGTTGAACGAAAAGTCGATCTTCGGTCCAAAAAGTTTGGGCACCCCTGATATAAAGAAATCCAGTACTTGTAAATGTATTCCCAATGATCGCATGGCATAAAATCTGGTTGGTTTGAGAAAGATTATGTAAAAACTGCATCGTATCCCCCTGGCCCCCACCAGAGCCACCTACCCCCACGTTCCCTCTAAGGTCTTCATTTAGTTTATTCCCGGCAGAGAAGAAAAATATACGTGAGGGGATGTTACTTGAAGTATGCGGCTTTTTATTCAGTAATACTTGTAGTTTTGATTTTTCGAAACTTTGACAGTATCATTCGAAACTGATCATTATCTGTGTTAAGTGCAGCTCCAGCTAGAGTGAAGGGCGTTTCCCTCCAGCAGGCTCACCTGTTCCGTTTCCCAATTAAGCCTTGCCAAGTATTTAAGGACTCCCAAGTTGCCAAGTTGCTTGCTGTTGTGCTTCGAGTGTTGTGTTCTAGACATCCAGATAGTATTCATAGTCGCTCTCGTTTTTCATGGTTCCTTGTTTGTATTTTCATTATTTTAGTATTGCTCTTGATCTTTGGTTTCGCGTTACTGGACTTTTGACATTTTGTTTGTGCATTCTTAGCGATTCCTTGTACAGTTCCTTTTTCAAGCAATTTTGGTTTATGTGTTGTTTTTCCTGGCTCCTTATGACCAGCGATTTCTGTTTGTATTTTGTCAGTGCGCTTTTCTGTAAATATTTCTGTTGTCCCGTTTTGTCTGAGGCTGCATTTCTGGGGTCATAAAACATTACAGGTATTGGGTTCTGGACCTAACGTTTGGTGATACGAGAATTTCACCGGACGCGAACAATACAGTGTATAAACATGCAAGACTAAAAGAAAAGAATGTTAAAGTGACAAAACATACCCTCTGGCGGGAGCACGTGGTGGAGGTCACCCCATACATCATACCAGCCTGTCCAGTAATCCATAACCATGGTTGGTCTGTTTGGCTAACAATCAGAAAAGAAGCCATAGTATGTCATTCGATACTCTTTGAAGACAGTGTGGGTAATGATGAAGAAATGACACCTACCTGGATAATGTTCAGATCCTGAATGGCTCTCTGATTTAGTTTCTTCAACTTCACTGATCTCATGACTACAAGACAACAGAATTTAAGCAAATGCTGAGTTTATGGAAGAGAGTGTGTGTATTGGTGATAAATACTTTACCTCCATCTACACCCCCCGACCTAAACATGTTGTGGTTGTCTGACGTGAGCAGGAGCTCACTGATCCCTCTGGACTGCAAAGCCTTTCAAAAAGTCACCACAATTAAAATACCTGTACTGTATAACTTTCTAAACAGAATAGAGTTATCTAGCATTCTGAAGGGTATGCATAAAGGACAGATGCACTTATGAAAAAAACTCCCTATGTTAAGAAAATTGTTTTTGTAAAAATGTTTATGGGTAGTACTAATATTTCAAAATGAAATTAACTGTACTCAAATCTGCGTAGCAATACTGTGATATAAAACTGTTATCATTTTGGTCATAGTAATCGTGATGTGACTCATACACTAAGACAGTTACAGTTACAGTTGCTTACCAGTGGGCGCATCCTATTTGAAATGACTCCCAGTATGTTCAAGCACAGTGATTACAAATATTTATTCATAATAATAGTAAGTAGTTAGTCGATATTTTTAACACATCTTGAAACTCTGCCCCGATTATACTGTTTTATATTGTTTATAAAATGTTATATTTAATTGTCTTATCTATGACCTGTATAAATGTACAACACTTTTCTTAGGCCACAATTGTTTTTCATGTGTTTTATAAAAATAAAAATATTTATTCATAATAATAATAAGTAGTTAGTAGATATTTTTAACATATCTTGAAACTCTACCCCCATTATACTGTCTTATATTGTTTATAAAATGTTATATTTAATTGTCTTATCTATGACCTGTATAAATGAACAACACTTTTCTTATGCTGGAATTGTTTTTAATGTGTTTTATATCTTAAAAAAAAACAAAAACACTATTTTATTACTTTAAAGCTGAGCATCACGGAATTGTTTTTAATGTGTTTTATATATTAAAAAAAAAACACTATTTTATTACTTTAAAGCTGAGCATCAAATTTCGACATTGCTCTTGAATTGGATGTCTTAGTTTGCGCAGGTGCGTCTCATGCTGTGGCCAGTGAGTGTTTGCATTAGTATTTAGTGTGTCATATTACCTCTTTAACGAAAGTCATGTAAGTATCATCCTTCGCAAAAGACCCATATTCATTCTCAACCTGGACGGCAATGATGGGACCACCTTTCTTAAACTGAAAGACACAGGAAGATGTATTACAACAGGCGACATGAACCTGATCTTGAATCAGACTCGATAGAATGTAAGGCCACCTGCAAGGGAACAACTTTTGGAATAAGTTTGTCAAAAAAAATGTTGACAGCCTTAGTGAATCCAGGGTATGTTGTTCTCACTCTCATGTTGCCATCTTGGAGAAGCCAGCTACCAAGAAACAGAAAAGATGCTTGGCCAAATAAATCCACAAATCTACAGGAACAACTAGGCCACAGTGCGCCACCCCATTTCGGACAAAGCTTCACTCACTGAGCCTGAGTCTTCCCCTGACAATGAGACACGACTTTTTCACCCAGCTTGAATTGAACACAGAATGGGTTGTGTTTCGTATCAAGTGGCTTTTGTGCGGCAGTAGCGTAACAATCATTTTTATGGACGGATGTCTACATTTCACCACACAAGGACCTTATGTCTTCAGCGTCTGACCTTGGCAGCCCCCCGAGGTCCAGCTCAGAAGAGATGTAGGGCCCTGGACGTAAAATCACCCACAAACCCAGCTCAGCTGCAAGATTTATATATGCTCTGAAATACAAGAGAAGAGATGAAATTCAATAATCAGCAGGAAGGCAACAACAAAGTATTCACACTGAGTGAAGCTTCATATCACAAAGTTAATGCAGCATCAAGTGTGCCTGGCAACAAGAGGAGCGGGCTATGATGTGGCATTGTGCTTCATATGTGCCACTGCTGTGTTTTTAATCGCTTTGGAAATTGCTGTTGTTGTGGAGATGCTGTTGTTGTCAGGTCGGGTGCCCCGACTCTTGCTTCTACCCAATGCACTGGGGCTTAGATGGTGAGGGAGTGGAACCTGAGTATTCCCATTGTGCAACGAAAGAGTTGCCGTGAATCACCTTAATAGCAATTACACAGTATGTATTTGCACTTGGTGCATATGACCCGACAATTGTCAAATTTAGCAGTGAGGTGGTTAACCCCAAGCAATATGTTGTCAGGTAAATTAGTCTCACTCTAAATCCAGTTGTGTACGGAAGTTGAAGACCTCTCTCTGTGGCTGATGAAGACTCCACGGCACAAATCTGCATTAGCACATAAAGCCCTTGGTTAACTTTGGTCTGGGATGGTGAGTGATATGGTACAAAAACATTCCTACGTGGTGAGGGTGTTGATGCCACAGGCTTTCATTTTCATCAGGCGGTCTCTCCAGTAGGCCCTGGGCACGCGAAAATAGTGGATGGATCCGCCGAGGATACAGAAGGGCTCACCCTCCAAGGTGAACTGGGATGAGTTGGCACTCAGTCCGAATTTCCTGCTCATTCTCTGCCCCGCTGTCGGCATGCTGAAGAATGCAATTCATACTCTACAGTATATGTCATCACATAACAGTGATTTGTGCTTGAATTAACATGACATGCTTGAAAGTGCAATCTTCCCGCACAATAAGCGTGAACATGTTTGAATTGAGAAAAATGATTGTTTCAAATTAAGCAAACCTAATTATTTGACCAATAGGGAAATTATCATAACAACATGAGTGAACATATTCTAAAATGCACTAACCTTATTGCAGTTTTTACAAATGGGCTTGTAAATGAACATCTCTCATATAGTTTGTATAAAACAAACTACCAGTAACTCTCATTAAATTCACAAGTTGGTCAGCACACAACTTACCCGAGGTATCTGTATGTGATGACAACAGCAACAGAAAGGCAAATGAGCGCACATTTTCTTTTGTGCACATTTCTTATCCTGAGGACAACCATAGATGACGATGCGTGGAACACTGCCGCAATTGAGCTTGAACTGTATCTCTGGGAAAATGAAAATGAACACATGATGCTCAAAGCGGTGAGAGAGCACCGCCTTGGGGGAGTGACTCTATACAAAGATTTGACTTATTTTATTTAACTGTATAAAATGGTCGTTGCAAAGAATACTCATCGTTTTTGTTTTTTTTTTTGTAAAATTGGCTCGCACTATCGATCCTTTTCCATTAAAAATGGGACTATCATAAAAGCCTGTACAGTCATGGGTTGAAACAGTAATAAAAACTACGTTTCCCAGCATCCTTCATAGTTGGAGCTTGCGCAATGTGTCTTTTCTCCCCGGCCCTTGATCGTCTATTCAGTCAGCGTTCTTGTTGTTGTTGGTGCTGCCACAAGCCACATACAAGGGGAAGACAAACAAGAAACGTTTGTCCGGTTGCTTGACGCATGAGCTGAGGACCACACTGCCATTGACTGGGCGCTTTCCTCGCGTGGTTAAGTGTTGTCTCTTTTTTCAGTTATCACAAGAGTTGCACAAGGTGTTGAACATTTCTCGTGAGGTAGCATCGTAAACAAACATGCTAGCTGTGTGCCGACAAATTGTGAGACCAGACATAAAATTCTAACCAACATTTAAAGACAATTGTTGACGTGCCATACTATCGATGCTCTTTTCGGCAGGCAAAAAGAAAATGTATACGCTAAACGTCGGGTAACCCTGAGATAGCATGCTAAATGCCTTTCTAAAACAGTATATAGTAGGAACGAATATAAAATTTCTCTATGTCACAAATTCTCTGTAACTGACGTGGTTTCATGTTTGATTCGACCCCTGTGTGTTTATCCCACCGAAATGTAACAACGCAAATTAGATTATTACGATTCTTAGTGTGTAAGTGAGCTAGGGCTCTTTGATCTGTGGTGTTTACACATTTGAAAGTGGCTTTCTTCTTGATCTTTCATGTTCTTTAATGTATAAAAAGCCAGGTAAACACGAAGAACATTTATCTATCTATCTATCAGCATCCTGCGCGTTGTTCTGTCTGTCTATCTATCTATCTATCCGTCTATCTGTCTATCTATCTATCAGCATCCTGCGCGTTCTTCTGTCTGTCTATCTGTCTATCTATCTATCATGTTCTTTAATGTAGAAAAAGCCAGGTAAACACGAAAAACTATCTATCTATCTATCTATCTATCTATCTATCTATCTATCTATCTATCTATCATGTTCTTTAATGTAGAAAAAGCCAGGTAAACATGAAGAACATTTATCTATCTATCTATCTATCTATCTATCTATCTATCTATCTATCTATCTATCCAATCAAAATTCGAGGTTATTACAATTAATTAGCTAAGTGTGAGCCTGCTTATAATTTACAGCATGAATTATTTTTTTTAATTAGGTTATAACATTTAAATGTCTTTCAGTACTTTAAATATTGCAATAATATCAATCTTGCAATATTCAACACCCATATCGCATGTTTTTCCCAATATCGTGCAGCCCTACAAGTTCCCTCTTATTTCATTACAAATTGTATCCATGTAATAATGGAGTATAAGCTAACACTGCTGTGCAGAGCTGTTTGTCTATCTAATCTTCACATTCATTTGTCTTGTCTAGGTCTGCCTCCGATCACTTTCCTGATCCGTTGTACTTTGTCTGGTTTATGGCAGGTTACTGGGTGAATATTTTTCTGCCATGAGAGCTGACCAACAGGTCAACAGTCCCCATTCCTTCTGCAGTTGATGGATCTGCAGCTGGTACAGAGATGACAGACAGTGTCAGGGCCTTCCTCCGCAATGTTGCGACGGTCAGCAGCACACACATGAATCCACAGCACCTGGCACACCCGTGTAGATTACAGACACTGAAACCAAAAGTACCGATGCACTTGGCAAATTTCTTGTGAAAAATATTTTGTACAGCCTTGCCACTTCCAAAGTTGAAAGTCCCAAAATGACTTTATTACATCAACAACATAACCATCATCATACAAATTGGCAAAAAAGTAAAAGTGTGATAATAACCATCGAACAGGAAATGGAAATTGTGTTTTATGAAAGTTGATGTCCTAAAATGTTACAGGTCCTTGCAAAGCACACGCACAAGAAACCCACTTCCGTTTTGCTGTCAAGTGTAGATGGACAGTACACATATATTGTGTTAGAACGTTACGTGACCATATTTGTCATTTCAAAATTACCAGTGGATAAAATAGGCCTTGTAAAACTGTACGTATGAGTTGTTCTCCTTCATTTTGTGGATTAATAAAAAGTCATCCAATGTAACATATTGTATGGGGACCCTAAAAAATGCAATTGGGCATAGTTCACATTGCCGTTTAATGCATCAGTGCATACACAATCCTCATCATGTGGTCATCTTTTTTTTTCTCCAAGCCACACAACACATCCAACCACCAACTCTTACTATGGTCGTGTATGGACAAATTAGCACAGCACAACACACATATTAGTGCACTTAAAACACACATGCATGCAAACGCAGCAAACACATTTGTTGTAGCATAAAATTGTTTATTTATAAAGCAAAGTTGCACTACATCGTGAATTTCATTATTTTGATTACTTGCTGTTATCAAGATATCTGACAGACAAAAACAAAAATCCATTTTAGCCATATGGCACAACCGTTGGATATTATAAGTATCATATTGGTATCAGCACACTAATAATGCACTCCAAGCAAAAACATAAACCTTATAAACATATATAGAGTCACAGAAATTGCATCTGGCGGGCATATTAGCAGATAGACATGGATGGAATTTCAGAGAACCACAACCTGCCATGCAGAATATGAGTTAACAAATGAAAGTATACATTTTGATCTCAACTCTAATGATGCACTTGAAGCATTAATATCAACCCATACATATAATGACAGAAATTGCATCATAATGGGCACTTGAGAGGATTGATATGGATGCAGTTTCACGTCAGTGACTGGTATCCCCAGGCCAGCCTTCATAGCCTCGATACTTTGAAATCAGGCTTGCAGCAGCCCGATACAGATGCCCAGTATCGGTGCTCGTCCACTAATGTCATGAATGATTAGATCTGCCCTCAAACTGCATTTTGATACCCACTGCATATTTTTTAAGTTCCTGATATGTTTGCTCTCCAAAAGACTTTGGTGGAGGCTATCGCATGATGGCACTCATGGTGATGGTATGAGAGAATGAGATGTGATGAAAAATGTTCAGATTTGATAATATGTCAATAATACGTTTGGCTAAACTGATTTTTGCTTTTGGTCATGTATTAACAAAATTGTGTCTTCCAGAACATACATACACGACTATAAACCTTTTGTGTTATGAGCATGAAACAAATATATCAGCTTTGCGCATTCATCTATTAAAAAGTGATCTGACAGCACATTCAGATATGTTGCATGTTGTAATAATACATAAGCCTGATGTCATACCTCTGGTTTTTAGACTCTGGCATTGAGTTTATGAAGGGACTATTAGCGACATTTGTTACGCACAGATTTTTGAGTATTGTCTTCAATGACAAATTCCTGTGTTCTGCACATTTTTTTCCCCAATAACGTATATGGTTCAGAACTTATGTTCTCTTTTTCACCTGGGACCTTTGCAGGGGATCAAGGATTCCATACTCGGGATTGGAACCATCTCCAAGCTGGATGCCCGCATCCAGCAGAAAAGGGAGGAACAGCGGCGAAGAAGGGCCAGCGGGGCTTTGGCGCAGAGACGGGCTCAAAGTGAGGAGCGTAAACCTGACAAGTATGTCAAACAGTTGCTTTGATTCGAAGGATTGCAATCCAAACTAATACAATTACTGTAATGTATCACTGATTTATACCCAGAGGTGCCCATAAAAATTTTGGCGTGGTCCTCAAATGAGCACCGAAGGTGGTTGTTTGGTGCTCATCTATAATGCATTCTATAATGCATTATATTTTTCAGCACACACTGGTTAAAGAAAAAAAAAGAAGTGTAACTTAATTTGGGCAAATATTACCTCAATGTATGAACATTTCAAGTTACAAATGGGCTCAGGGAGCCAATTAAATTTGTAATGAGGGTAAACTGTATGCAATAGTGATTTGGATTACCGGTATATATATATATTTTTTATTCATTTTTACTTTAATTATTTACTTACTTATTTTTAGTGACCCCAAAGTAGCCAGCAGGATCTTTCAGTGCTGTGCCTGGAATGGAGGAGTCTTCTGGGTAAGAGGCTCAATGTACATGTCTGTGATGATCGTGTTGAATCATGACACTCTTGGAAATTGAAAAGAAGTTCTTCTCTCTGCATCTTCTGATAATATTTGAATCTTATTATTTTGTTTTCTGTAGCTCAGTCTTTTTCTCTTCTACCGGGTGTTTATCCCACTACTCCAGACTCTATCTGCAAAAATTATTGGTATGTACTCGAGATGAAGATTTAACCTTAGCGATGGACAGTTCAGTTGTGAAATCCTACTCAGAAAACTATTTTTTGTTGCTACAGGTGACCCCTCGCTCCATGGCAATGTCTGGTCATGGTTGGAGTTCATCCTGACATCTGTCTTCAGTGCTCTGTGGGTTCTCCCACTGTTTGTCCTCAGCAAGATTGTCAACGCTATCTGGTTTCAGGTTGGTCCCCCAATGTTGCAGCATTTTTCTTAATGACCACGTGTTGTGTTTAGGGTCTTCTTCCCCTCAGAGGCAGACAAAGTGGGATGTACTTTCATGTCCATTTTCCACAAAAACGTGTTATTTTATCTGCATAAGAAAAAAATATCAACAACACAAGTCTGCCATACATTCCCATTTTTGTATATTTGTGCACACATGAACAAAAGTGTCGACTCCCCTCAGTTCATGAAAGAAACTTGCGCGGTCTCAGAAGTAACGTGAATATGACAAAATTAATAGTATACAAAAAAAATGGAATGAAAATTAATCACTGAAAATCAGACACTGCTTTTGAATTGTGCTTCAACAGAATAATTTTAGTCAAGAAACACATGAAACAGGCCCAGACAAAAATGATGGCATACACTTGAAATAGACCAGGCGCTTCTGATGATATGTTATTTTATTTTTTTTCATTGATTTTCACAATTTTGTTGAACCAGAATTCTAAGCCAGTGTCGGATTTTCATTTTTATTCTGTGTGTCTATTACTTAGGCCAGATTCAAGTTATGCCTGTGACCAATGTGGATTTTCTTTTCATTAACAGCGGGATGCTAACAATTTTGTGCAGATGTGTAAGTGATATGTTGATTCAACAAATTTGGCATTCATCAAGCTGAGTTTGAACTCAGCTTTCCAAACAATGATTAATCAATGTTGATCATGAATTAACAAGGGTGTGTGTGTGGGGGGGGGGGGGCGGGTTTCCCTCGTAATCATATAGGGCCATTGAGGCTCTGATTTTTGGTTGCATTGAACATACAGATCCATACCATATTTGTGTCTTGATAGTTGTGTACTTGTTGCAGGATATAGCTGACTTAGCATTCGAAGTGTCTGGCTGTAAAGTGCAACCATTCCCAAGTGTGAGCAAGATCATCGCAGATATGCTCTTCAACCTCCTCCTCCAGGCACTCTTCCTAATTCAGGTTTGCACCTTGAATGTGTGGTTAGTTGGGGCTGAAACTCTTTTATATTACAATATAAGTCATTCGTATTGGTCGATATTGCTAATTAATGAATTTTGTATTTTTAAAAGGTTCTTTATTTATTTATTTATTTGGTTGGTTGGTTGGTTGGTTGGTTCAAAATATGGACCGGAAGGGGGGAAAAAAACGCTGAATATAGGTAATTTCATTTTAAGATATATTTAAGATTTAATAAGGCTTCAATGCAACTCTGAAGAAGTCAAATAAATTGTTCAATCTAAAGATAAAATGAAATGCCTTTTGAAATATAATGTGCTTAGTGGGGCTGGGTGATATGGCTGAAAAATGTTTCATGTTATAAATATTTCATTTCAGTCATTATTGATCTTTTTTTTACCGATTGAAAATGGGGAAAACAATTAAATTGATTAAAGATAAAATTACAAGCAATTCAACCGATTAAAAATCCAATTCAATAAAACACAACTATCAAGAGGAAAAAATATTCTTCCAAATATATGGCAGTAAAACTTAATTTTCAAGGACTATCCACCAATGTGTATTGTAATGTGCAATGTTGTTGACATCCATGCTCCTCCAGCAGAGCTCCGTAAATATTTATTAGTGGAAGACGCTGCTACTCCATAGCGCTCTCGTTGAGGCAGTTTCAGTACATTAACATTAATTTCTTGTTCATAAATATAGCGAACTCACACTCTGAGTTGAGCATCCGTCTTAGGGCTACTTTGTCTTTTTTGCTGGCTCATTCTGTCATACGACATTTTTTACTTGCCTGTGTAGTGTGACACTGAGAGGGTATGTGCTGGTTAACATCAGGGATAGCCAGTCCTTAACTTCTACACCATGTATCCATTCAACGTTTTTTGCTCATGTTAGTATACACAATAAAATCTTATTGCAAGAGTTGTAACTGGTCATTTCTTTGTCATTTCTTTTAAAGAAGTTAAGGTTATAAATGACCGATGTTAAGGTTAAACTACGATTTCATTCAGCATACGTACAGTACGTATGCCACACATGGTTGCACATGCGTTCGTGCACTTTGTCGTTGTTTATCTTCTGCACTGGTTCGGGGACAAGTTCACAAAAACAGTTGTGGTGCGCTCAAAACAGGTTTTTGTGCTCCAAATTTCCTCTTAGGTGCTTGTAATTGTGGTTAACCTCATACTGTACCCTCTGCTTACAGCATGCAGAATGTCGGGTTTGGGATTTGCTTCATGGACTTTTTTTTTTTTTTAACTGGTATTGTTTTGAGCACAATTTCTGTTGATATTTTTGAAATGGGATGAATATCTTCGAGCTAAACACACATGCAGTTAAGGTGAGTTCTGTCAGACTGACACTGTGCATTTGTGTCCTCTAGGGTATGATTGTGAGCCTGTTTCCTATCGATGCCATTGGGCAGATGGTCAGTCTATTGCACATGTCTCTGCTCTATTCCCTGTACTGTTTTGAGTATCGCTGGTTCAACCACGGTAAGATAGCCCGGTACTTTTGACACAAACGTCATGCACTTGTCATGTTTGTCAAACTGAAAGTGATTGACGTTTTAAAGGCATTGAGATGCACCAACGGCTGTCCAATATTGAGAGGAACTGGCCCTATTACTTTGGCTTTGGTTTGCCCATGGCTTTGTTGACAGCCTTGCCTTCATCATATATCATCAGGTAAAGCCTCAATTCCACAGATGTACATTATTTTCCCTCTTTGGCTTGATCATGCATTTGTCTGCTCCATACATATAGATAATGAGGTGCGAAGTGTGTGTTAACATGATAAGTTGTTTTCTTACCTGGGTGTTACATTCAAGCGCACTAGTGAAGATTAAAGAAACTGGTATTTGGAGATGAGCTGTGTGGAAATGAGAACTGACGTGACTTTGATGCGCTATGTTTGAAAGAGGTTCCGGGAGAACATTTTTAAGTTGTCTCTGCTCAGCATTTAAGATAAGATAAGATAAGATAAACTTTATTTGTCCCACACTGGGGAAATTTGCAGTCTACAGCAGCACAATTGGGGGGGGAAGAAACAAAACATTTGCTGATTTATGTTATTTACCAAACATGCTAGTAAAAATTGGAATTCAGAAACTTAGCACAAATAATTGTCTGTTGGGTACTAATACAGTTACAAAGAATCATTAAGGACTGCATTACATTTTAGAGTCTTTATCTTCTCTTTTAGTGGCTGCTTGTTCTCCATCCTCTTCCCTCTCTTCATCATCAGCGCCAATGAGGCCAAGACACCAACAAAGCTGTAGTAAGTGACAAAATCAAGCCGAAGTTTTGAGTCATTCAAGTTTATGTCATTTCCCCTTGCCGAGTCATCTTGTACGTCCCGATTTTTAGCCATTTTCAGCTGCGTCTCTTCTCGCTGGTGGTGTTCATCAGCAACAAGCTTTTCCACAAGACGGTCCACCTGCAGTCCTCGATGACATCATCAACATCCTCCGAGAGGCTCACATCCCCTCACATCTCCCCTGTCCGACAAAGACTGCTGCCCACACAGTGATGTTGATGCTGCATGAAGGACCCTCGCTTAATGTGACAAAGGTTTTTCCGAAGGAGTTCCTTAATGTGTTTTGCAGCACTGGGTTTACATGTTTTTAATCTATTCTCTGCCCCTTTTATTAATATTCATTTTTTTTCCACGATGTCAGTGTGACATATAATTGCCCTGTGCCTCACACTCGAAATGCATAATTCACTCACAATTGTTTTCTTTTGTCATTTTTTTCCACTCTCATTTTATATAATGTGCCATTTGAGTGACTCTCCTTTAAGAAAATACAGCACAATAAATCATCTAGAACAGGGGTGTCAAACTCATTTCACATGGTGGGCCACATACGGCCTCGGTAGATGTCAAGTGGGCCGGACCATTAAAATGATACCATACTTTGCTATAAATAACCAAAACAATGTCTTTCCTTTGTTTTGGTATAAAGAAGCACAAGAACATTAGGAAAATGTTGAAATTTAATGAACATATCTTTTACAAAATATTTCATGAAGCACCTTACATTTCCTTCGACAAATGTGCAATTTACTTTTATCATTCACATATATGCATTGCAAATGATCCCACTGATTGTACAAACATTAACAAGTAATTGGTATTGAAAAATATAGTAATGCACTTTAAGATTAAACGAGATTCATAAAGAAAGGAAGTTTTAAACCATTTACACGTGCATATAAAATCTAAATGTAATCTTACAAACTAAGGAGAGTGCTATTAAATGTGTAAATGTGAGAGTGCTATTGATAGCGTCTGCTGTCATGGGTCTGTCACAGTGACGGACTGAGGCTGCTGTTGTCTTCTTCTCTGATCAAAACAGTGTCCCCTTGCGGATACTCAATGAATTGCACCGTATTAAAAATATTAATTCTGTCTTTAATGCATTTTTTTCACGTTTAAATTATCCTGCGGGCCTAATTGAACCTCCTTGCGGGCCGGTTCCGGCCCGCGGGCCGTATGTTTGACACCATGCTTTACATAATCATCTCGCGGGCCGGATTAAACTCCTTTGCGGACCGGATCCGGCCCGCGGGCCGTATGTTTGACACCCCTGATCTAGAATTTGAAGGATTTTGTTTGCTTTGAAGCAACTAGAATGTTTTACCAGTTGCAGTATGTGTTTGTTTGATGGCGGATTGTTTTACCAGTTGCAGTACGTGTTTGTTTGATCGAGCAAGTCTCATATGGTCCTGTGACTGTCAGGTTATGGTGTCCTAGCAGTTCCAGGAAAATTGTTGGAGAGATTTTCTTTTCTTTTTTTTTTTTTTTTTTTTTTAACTGTGGTGGACTTTCTCAAACGTGAATTGACATATGCAAAAGCTAAAATGATTTGGGACCTAACACAAAACAAAAACGGTGTGACTTGTGGTGTGCTGGTTTCTCATTTTCCCCAAGTTGAAATGGTCCTGAACCTCTGGAGAGATGTGCTCATTGCATACAAGATGACCCCAAAACTCTTTTTAGTTATTATAAATGTATTCAGTTTGGGTAATGATGCTGCCAAGCTGCAAGCACGTGTGTTATTTCATGTTGTACCGCTAAAACATACCAATATTCATAACACTTTAAACATTGACCTGCATACTGTAAACTCTCTACTGATGTGACGCAAGTATGTTTCCCATTTTATTTGTTCTGTGTATATTAAATTCTGAACGTCCAACCAACATGCAGTATAATGAACCCCTCCAGCACCATCAATGGGTTGTTTCGGGGCCTTAATTTTGATCATACATACATAACTCCTAAGGGCATAGTAGTGTTTGTGTAGACTGATTGTGAGTGAGGTTTTGTAATGCAAATGTATCTCATTTTAATAAAGTGAATTAGGATTTCCCAGTGATAGTGGATTAAAATTCTAAATGTCTGCTTGCAGAATTATGCAAACACATTTTAATTTGATTGTTAATACAAAAAAATGGCTGTCAATGTTTTTCCTTATTTTTTTATTTTAAGGATGGGACTTTAATGTGGACTCAGTCTGTTATTTCACAAAGTGCTGTCAGCACAAAACTGCACAAGGCTATGTGTTCATTTATTGTTTTATTTTTGGTTTTGGATTTGTTTTTGGAGCTGAGGTAATAATTATTATTTTTAAAACTAATTTGTGATACCTATTTCCATCATCTTTTTCATTAACTTGTAGACCATTCATTATCTGAACCGCTTATCCTCATTTCGGTCGCGGGTGCGGTGGAGCCTATCCCACTTGTCTTTGGGCAGTAGGCGAAGGACACTCTGAACTGGTTGCCAGCCAATCATATTGCACACAATAGATGACAACCATGCATTCACACTCAACAATCACAATTTCGGACAATATGGAGTGTCCACTTAACCTGCCATGCATGTTTTTGGACTGTGGGTGGAAACCGGAGTACCCGGGAAAACCCACAAAGGCATGGGGGGAGCATCCAAACTCCATACACGAAGGTCCAAACCCGGAATTGAAGCCTTGACCTCTGTACTGGGAGACGGAACAGGCTCACCCAGGACAACGACACAACAAAAACCGTGGGGGCCGCTCTAACATTAAATTTAAATCTCATCCTGCGGGCTGCAAATGCGCCCCGGGCCATGAGTTTTAGACTACTGTAGTTTAATGGCTTAACTTGGTTAGTTTATTTTAAAAGAATTTATTATGAGCGTGCAGTTTAGTTTAATATATTTTTAGTATACAGTATGTTCAAATATTGTCCTGTATATTTTTGGGGGGCTTTGGGGCGTATTTTTTTTCAGAAGCACTTTGTGTTTTAATCAGTAGGAGGAGACAAAAACGTTCCTTAAGTAAGGACACGTCACTACACTAAAGCGGCGAGTCAGGTCACCAAATTTGAGCAACAGCTAAGCAACCAATCAGAACCATAGATGATCACGGTTGACTGACGCTCAACCAATCACTATGTACTATCGGGTGAATGAGGCGGGAATATGTTTGGTTGTCTTCAACTCATGAGTTCACAGGAGCGAAGCTGGTAAGTGCTGCTCAATGAACATAAGTAATGGAATATATTTTCTTCGAGAAATAGCACGTATTTAGTGAGACCATTGTGCCGTTTTGCTAGTCATCTTCGGTTAACATTACTTGGAAGAGTTGTTGGGCTGGACTGTACATAAAATAAACGAGTAGCTTAGCCATGTTAGCTATTCAGACTATTGGAAGGTAAAATCACCAGATCATCAAGCACGCCTAATTATTGCAGGGACTTTTTTCGTGTTTCGATTTGTTGCATTTTCAGTCACTTTATTTAGCTGACTTACTTTCTACGTGATTGTGGACGAATTTCTTAAAACTGTCAGCCATAACGGCTCTTTTGGGGATGGTGTCGGCTGTAAAATAGCCATTCATAGAATAATCGACCTACGTCAAAGGTTGCGTTTTATTTATTTTCTTTGTCTTTTAAATGTACGCGAGTGTGCATATTTAAATGGCACAACCACAAATGTCTGCAGAACTTACCAAGAAGAGGAGGCGCTTCCTAGTTTTCTGACGCCACCTAATATAGTGCGTGGCCTTATCTGGTTGGACTCCCAACAGCTGAAAGAATGGGAATTGTTTTCCACATTTGAAATTAATTCGAATCTATCCATTGTTTGTCTTCTGCTCATCAGTTAGTGAGGTGAGCTGTCTTCAACCTCGCCACAATGACAAAATTGGGCTTCCTGCGTTTGTCCTACGAGAAGCAGGACACGTTACTGAAGCTGCTCATCCTTTCTATGGCTGCTGTTCTCTGTGAGTGTCTTCACTACGTACAATTAACATGTAAACAACTGCATTATTCCTTAATAATTATTCTTTCTCTTCAGCGTTCTCCACCAGACTGTTTTCCGTCTTGAGGTTTGAAAGTGTCATCCATGAGTTTGATCCGTAAGTGCTTGCTTACTCAGAGTTGTGCTGCGTTTGATTTACCAAAAAATCCTTCCACCTGTACTTGTTAAATTATACTTGTGAATCACCTTCAGGTATTTCAACTACCGCACCACCCGCTTCCTGGCAGAAGAAGGATTTTATAACTTTCATAATTGGTTTGATGACAGAGCATGGTATCCACTTGGGAGGATCATCGGTGGCACCATTTATCCTGGTAGGAATGAGCAATAATGCTTAATTGCAAGATGCCTGACAATATTTACTTGAACAGCTTTAAAAAAAAAAAAAAAAAAAAAGCGACCATGCTAACGCATGTATTTTCTCCTCCACCAGGCCTGATGATCACCTCAGCTGCCTTGTACCACGTCTTACATTTTTTCCACATCACCATTGATATCCGCAATGTTTGCGTTTTTTTGGCTCCCTTGTTCTCCTCCTTCACAGCTATTGTCACCTATCACTTCACAAAGGAATTGAAGGTAATTTCTAATGAATCATAAGGTGTTTTTTAATTATTATTATTATTTGGGTCACCTGGGGCAGGCTCCAACTCCCTCATTGTCCTAAATAGTGCTACTGAAAAAAAAAACATGGATGAATGAGGTTAGATCATGTTTTTGAACCGTGGAGTATATCATGTTTGATTTTACTTTATAGTGCTTATAATTTATTGTCGCTCACTTTTCTGTTTAGGATGCTGGTGCTGGGCTGTTGGCTGCAGCCATGATTGCTGTGGTACCTGGTTACATCTCCCGTTCTGTTGCGGGCTCCTATGACAATGAAGGTGCAGCATAACACGCATGCCTCTATTTGACATGTGAGAAGACCCAAACAAAATATTTTTCATCCTGTCTGCCCTACATAGGTATTGCCATATTCTGCATGTTGTTGACTTACTACATGTGGATCAAGGCTGTAAAAACAGGATCTGTATACTGGTCCTCGATATGTGCTCTGGCCTACTTCTATATGGTGAGCAAATACATTTTCACAACGGTTTAATTGTAAGGTCTTTTTGTAGAATATCAACTGGTTTTGTACAACATATGGCACATCCATTCTTTTAATATCAGCATTTCTTTGAAAAAACTGCTGGACTGGAGCCTGCTTTCTGCTCGTCTTCTTGCCCATCATCGGAACTAGAGATCTCAATTTAGCCTTTAATAAAGCTAAAATTTACTTAGCAGCCCCCCCCCCCCCTTAAGTTACGTCACCTAACCTGAAGTCTTCTGGCACCCCCTTGATATAATGGCTGTATATCGAGACAGGCTAAGTAATAATTACATTTTGTGTCTATTTTTAAAAGGGTGGAAGAAAACCTTAACTGTCATCTCTCACAATTTTGTTTACATTTTCAGAGTTGTCCTGATGTCCAGCTCCCAAAGAATTTGTGGAAATCTGTAGCACTTG